CACTGCCATACACACAGACCCCCACACCCACACCTCCTCACACACCCCAACCACCCTGCCCCTACACACAGATCCCCACAGACTCCATACCCACGCACACCCCACGTATCCACACACACACCCACATGCTTCCTCACCCCCACCTATCCACCCCCCGTAGACACAATCACACCTTCCTTCCCACCCCACATACCCACACACTTACAATCCCCACAAACCTATACCCACCCCGCCACACTATACAAGAGTAAGGCTTCATATTATGCTATTATATATGATCCCCTCTATGTACACTGCACAAACACATGTAAACCAGGACAAAAATATTTTTTGAAATCAAATTAATGAACATTTTATAGTTTCATAGTTTTTAGATGTTCACTTTTTAGAATATAATTTGGTGGTTTTCTAGTTCGAGCTGGCAAACCCCCTTGCTGAAAGAAGTACTTCTGGGGGCAAGGGGAGGGACTTCTGGTGGCAAAGGTCGGGGTTAGGTGATGGGACTTCTGGTCACAAGATGGCGACCGGGGTGGGGCACCTGTCAAGGGACAGTGCTACCCATGCATCCCTCGACAGCTTGCCAAAACACAGTAAACGGCCGTGTGTCCAAAATAATTCCTGCCTCTGTCTTAGGCTTTTCTCAATATTATGTCTCTGTCCTCTCTTTCAATACCTACAGGGTCAAATTCATAAGAATGGCCTTCTAAGAGATACTGGACGGGTTCATCTGCCATCATCCTAGCTATATGCCCTGTTTAACAAAGAGTCTGGGGCTCTCTCTCACTTTAAGAGAGCAAAAGCCCAGCCAGAACACTGCTTTGGAAGCAGGGGACAACTGCAGCTAGGTTGCCATAGAGACTGACTGATTACATTAATTAGGAGACACTTGCAGGCAACCCTGAGGAAGTCAGTTGACCGGAAAGGCAGCGGGGTCTGAGAGAGAGAACTCTTAGGGATCCTGGTTTGCTCTGATAAAAAAATCCCCAATTTTCAGGTTAAAAAAGTAACCCAAAATCCACATTTTTCCATGGTTAAAATGAAACGCCACTAATACATAGTGGTGTTTCATTGTGATAACTGAAAAATGTGGATTTTGGATTACTTTTTTTAACTTGAAAATTGGGGATTTTTTCAATCAGAGAAAACCAGGATCCCTACCAGATGAGGCAGCCCCAGAGGCTGGCCAGGCAAGTCTGGCTATGGAGCTGAACAAGAAACAGCTCTGTGGAGGGGCCTGTGAATTAGAGGCAGACTGAATGCACTAGGCCCAAGTCAGCTAGAGACATGAGGGCTAGCAATGGAACTAGATCCAGGATTGAGCTGGCATTTTGTTAGAGTCAGAAGGGCTTGTGTTTGTGTTTTGATTCCAGTTTTGCCTGGTGGTTTGGGAGGATCATGGAAGTGTTTTAGGAGGTCCCATTGCACCTGCAGGAGGTGTGCAGCAGCTGCAGAGCACCTGAGAAGGGTAGGACTGAGACTTCAGGGGCAAGAGGGCCCAGCGCCTGGGCAGGGCAGTGATAGGACTTGGAGCCCAAACAGAGAGAAAGCCTAGAGAGCTCTGCTCAACAGCCCAAGAAAGGAGCAGAAATAAAGGTCTTGTAGGGCCAGACTAGGAGCTGGAAACCCGGAAGCTCGGTTTGGTCAGTGGACTAGAGCTAGGGGGGTCAGCAAGAGCAAAAGGTTGGAGGCCAGGAAGGCTGAAGCCCAACACTTGAATGGCAGACTCACTCTAGGTCCCTCAGGAAGCCTCCCTCCTTTCCAGACAATAACATCAAAGGCATGGCAGGAAAAGTAAAGGAGGTGAGGGCCCCTAGAGCTGGAGCTGGGGCAGGCATTATGGAGCCACAACTGCACCTGGGACCTGCACCTGTCACACGCTGCCAATGAAGTTGCTGGGATTTTACTGTTTACTATGCCTAGTCCATTATAGACCTCCCAAAGTTGAACATAGCAAATATCCATAAAGTAATCTCCCTAACTAACTCAAAAATTTGCCTCTATTTTATCTTTTACGAGTATTTTACTGTCTTTTTCCATTTTGACAAGTACCCAGGTCTCTCAGCCACATAAAATAATAGGTCTTATTGTGGTCTTGAATATCTGGACTTTGTCTTTCTCAGTATTTTGGAGATAAAAATGTTCTGCAGAGAAAAGTAACAGGCACTGCTGCTTTGCATCTATGCCTTATTTTTCTCCCTCACCAAAATGTTATTAACGCTTAGTGTTTCTAAGTGTCTAAACTGTCAAACTTGTTGATATCTATGGTTGTTTGCTGCTAGGTTAACTTGTCTAAGATGCTGCCTTACAATCATGTATTTGCTTTTATCTTCATTTAGCTTAAACTGTTATTCTTATTTCTTAGACTTAAGTCATCCTTTGTACCATATCTTCTGTCTCTTACAACACTGAGGTTATCAGCATATACAAAAAGCTGGTCCAGGCTATATGCCTCCACTCAGTGCTAAGAAAGTCATAATTACTGTACCACTTTTTCCACAGCCACATTAAAAATACTGATGATGCTACATCTCTCTGCTTTAATCCCACAATGATTAAGGGGCTGAGTTCTCAATCCTCACTTATACTCTTGTCTTTTGGGCCATAAAACAGAGTTGTTTCATGGTAACATTTTAGGAGGGATTGCAAATGACTGTATTAATACTTGATATTTTTACAAAAAGCTACTTTGAGTAATACCAGAAACACACACAGACTGGGCAACACAGGGCAATTCTCCTTTGTCCTTTAGGGAAGAAACTATATCTATTTTGATATTTGGACAATGGCTAGGAAGCCCAAACCCAGTTCCCAACTGGGGTCTCTACCATCCTATAGTATAAATATTAAATGTATGTTATATACATATAATACCATTATTATAAGGCTGTTTTAATCTGTTCAGTCAGACTGACAGTTTAACAAGGACAAAATGTGCATCCAGCTTCCCAATAATGCATCTAAAATCACACAAACATACATATATGTTCATGTACAAATACAGGTAAGAAATGGGACATGAAAATGTGGATCCTAATACTCCCAGCCTGGGACACAGAACAAAGCAGGAATTAAGTTTTCTGTTTCCTCGTCATTTACTGAGTTTAACTGTGACAGATCCCTTGGGCTGGTCTTCTAGCCTACTAATAAGATAGTGCCTGAACCTGGAGGGAACCTCAGGTCTGGTTTTCCATATTGATTTCAAGTTCTGCACACAGTCTAGGCATTTGTGCATCTGAAAGGACAAGACTAGTGATTAATAAATAGAGTTGACAGGCTCTACAAATAGTACCCATCTTTTCCTGTTCATAAGGAAAAATATGGTTGTGACACAGGGGATGTCCATTTCACAACGTAACAGCAAATAAATTAAAAGCAGAGTGCAGATTTTCAAAAGAGGAAACAAGGTCCCCCATAAGGGGCAAAGTCCCTCAGCAAGCCTGTCCAGAAAAACACCAAGGATACTGACCTGACTGTATGATAGGCGACATCTGCTGATTGGTTGTAGACAAAGAAGGATGTGATTTGAATCGGTCACGCTCTAATGTTGATACTGGTGTAATAAAATGACTCTGATTCCACCCATCCTGTGAAGTGGCAGCAGAACCGAATACCAGAGTGAATTACATTTCATTAAAATAAATGCTTTCAAATCTTTGTGGAATGATTTCCAGATGACTGCTGATTTTTTCAGATGCAGTGTTGTAATTTACCTTTTTATAAATGCTACGGAGGTCTCGGTATTGCCATAATGTATTCAATACCTGGGCTGCTGCCTTGACCACTTTCAATGATGATCTAAGAAAATAAAAAATACCGTTATAATGTGTAGTATGTAAAGAAAGTGCAAACAGTGCATGTGTGAATTTCACTTTGATTTGCTACAGCCATGAAATAAACCGGGGTAATTTCAGTCTAATTCCCAGTGAACAAATGCATATCAACATGTTGACACCACCTCTGGGCCATACTAACAAGCACTGCAGTGAAGTCCAACAGGCTGCTCTATGTATGCTGAACTCAGAAACAGATGCAATGCATGACAATAAGTGTGCCTAGACTGTACTGGTGTGAGCTCAGTTCTGCCCCCAGACAACTATATTACATCTATTTTGGAGTTGAGTACATGTTAGGTGGATGCGCTGTGCTTCACTGAGCCGCTTCCTAGTGCAATTTAGAGGCAAACCACAACTACTAGGGGTCACGGTGATAGATCTCAGCAAAAAGGCTGGTTTACAACTACACAGGCATGGCCATTACACTTATGTTATGCCAGATATGATTCCTCCAGGACTGTCCTGTAGCACATGGACAGGTAGGGTGGGGCAGTTAGTATAGTTACTGCCTATGCTGTACCAGTTCTGTGGAATAACATTAAAACAAATAATTACAACTCTATTACACCTGATTTAAAGAAAATCATGAACAAAGAGAAAGGTAGGCAGGACTTGTAGCACCACCTTGTAAGGTTGCCAAACACCCCTGCCAAGACCCTGTTTTCAGTCACTTACAATAAGTCTGTCAAGTGTTACCCAGTGGACTGAACTTGTCCCTGCTATGGATCTGGGCATTCAGTTCAGCCTGATTTTTTAATTTCAGCTAAACAATTCCACCACTTCCAAAATGACAGCAGGGGAAACCCATTGTTTTGACTGTTTTGTCAATGGTAAAAATGTTGGCAACCTGTTCTTTGAAAAGTGCTAGTACCCCTATAAGTAGTGACTTCATTGTCAATACTTACAGGGGTACTAGCACTTGTCAAGTTTTCATTGTCAAGATTTCATTGTGGTTAAAGTATTTGAATGATATGCTGGAGAACTAGAATGGAACCTTACGGCGGTCCTATGTGAAGCTTTGTAAGTCACTTAGAATACTAACTCTACACAGATCCATCATTTGTTAGATGCCTGACTTAAGAGACTAAGGTCTGATTTGCAAAAGTGCTTGCAGACTCTCACCTCCAACTGAAATCAATGGGTGCTGTTCTTGACCACACAAAATACTGCAGCATACTAGATGTTCTGAAAAAAATCAGGTCCTTGGGCACCTGAGCAATTTGGGCACCAAAAATAACTGAATGCTTTTGACATTAACTTGACTGTGCCTACCATGGATATTATGAACGTTAATTAATGTTTATGACATACTCAAATATTATATTTTGAGTGCAATGGAAAATCTCTTGAAGAAACTATACGTTTTATATTCAGAAGAAGGTTTGAATGGTGTAGTAAATAAGGTACAGGGTCAGTGATGAGAAAATAAAAATAGCTCACTAAGCACTATTTATTTTCACACTGACTAAAGCAGCGTGCTGCTGAAAGCAGAGGTTCATGGGATTAGCAACTATCACAATATACTAGTCTGGAGAAGCTGAATTAAAGTCACACAAGCAGCCTTAACTCTGCAGTTTCTTAACTTGTGGGTGCTTGACATTGCAACTCACAATGTTCTATGAACAGAATGCAACAGAGGGCTGCTATTTTGTTTCTAATGGATCCAATTACAGCAAAAGCCCTCACAAGCTTTAGACAGTATCCTGGTCTGTACCCAGTATACTGTGCCCTGAGAAAGACTGGCAGGACCTGGATGGAAATAACATTACAAAATGAAACAGATGCCAAAGAGCCTTTTCCCTTGCCTAACAGGTTGCAGCTGTGGGAGACTACTAGTCTTATCAGCAAACCAGGAATGTGGTAATGAATCCTTTTTCTCTTTAAAATTCCCTTTCAAGTGCTTTTTAAATCTGAAATGGAATAAGAAACATTTCACTCGTGAGCCCTGCTGCTGACTTGCCTGTCACCCCTTCCTTTTGTTATGTTCACAAGTTTTTCTATTCCTCCTGTGTCAGCCAAAGCTTTGGCATTTTCCATGTTCTTACTAGTGACCTCATGCAAAGCACAACAGATTGCTGCTACAGTCTCATCAGACAATATGCTTGTGCCATTGCTTCCTGGAAGGCGATTCACCAGATCTCGCATGGCATATTTACCTACAAAGAACCACAAATAAAACCAAGTTAGAAAATGTGCTTTCTATTTGTATTTAAAACATTATAAAATCAGTATCTTGACAAGAAACATACAAGTTTAAAGGCAATAACAAAGGAATGTAGAATAAATACCACCAAGTTGAATACAATACTAATTCAAATGGCACACAGAAGCAAGAGAAAATATAGTGTTATTTTCTGAATTACAATCGGTTCTTTTTTCCTACTAGATTAGAGAAAGGCTGATTAAATAAATATCATGGGAACATGCCAATAAACACAGAGAGACTCAAATATGTATGCTTATTTATTTAGTTAGGTTTGCTTTAGCTGGGGTGTTTTACACCAAAAGAGAAACAATGTTCCAATAACACTGTTTATGAATCTTTTAGAACAACTTGGGTCTTAGGGGAATGCACAAGAAATATATAATCTTCTTCAGGCAGGGTTTGAATCAATGGATCTTTATTGGCTGATCACACTTTGCTCTCAATTGTTCTAAGTTAAAATGGTTGGAAAATGACGAAAAGGGTAAGAAAATATTGGACCTTATTATCATTTACTTTTGTCCTCAATTCAAACACTATCTTAATTGTTGACAGATATTATTAATTGGAAAGTCTTTACACTTTTAGGTAGACATAAACCTGTACTTTACTAGTAAATAGGTTTTGTCCACATTATTCTCCCAACAGGGCTCTGTTGACTATGAGGTGAAAGATCACCCCTTATAGACAATGTCATTCTGTTGTCAAAGTCCCCCACGTGGATGCAGCTCTGCCTGTGGGAGATGGCTCCTGTCAGCAGAGCTTCCGTTTTGGGGAGGTAGCACCACTCTGGCAGCAGCAAAACTCCTCCTGCCAATGGAGCTGTATCTGCAGTGGAGGCCCAGGTACAGATGCTCTTTGTAAAGCAGCAGCAGCCCCCAGAGCACAGAGAGACTCTCAGTAATTTTGAAAGTAGTTCTTATAGATGTTTTCTTCACCTTGCTCCTCATCCACAAAAGATTAGATCTGGGCTCTTTCAGATTTCAATTACTGCCTAACAAACAAGCATAGTCACGTTGCAAACAAGGGAAATTACTAAAGCTAAAGTCAATATTTTTTCTGCTTAGCCCATGTTGATAACTGAATGGCTATTAATGGATTTTATTGAAGACATTTATATATAATGGTGAATAATGGATAAATAATGGATAAAACTTCACACAAGGGCTTTAACTTTACATTTACATACTGTACCTGGGGAGAAACCCTGATCCTTAACCATAAAGAAATGCAACAAAAAAAATAAGCTTTTTGACTCCATTAAAAAAACACAGCAATTATTAATAAAAATAACAACAACTTTGGATACAGAGGTGCTGACATTAACTGTCTTGCAAAGACTGAGCAACATATCATCAGATGGTTGCATGTTTAAGACAATGGCTGCTGTGATGTGGAACCATCTCCTGTGACATTTGTCAGAGCCCTCTGATGCCCACTTTAAAATAAAAATACATTTTTTTCCTTTAAGATATTTTTTAAATATTTGTATTTCCAGAATTTTCTTTACGAAATCAGACCTTCCAGGCCTGAGGGAAGCTCTTCTCGACTTAGGTGCAATCTACCCTTCCTTTCACTGCTTGTGAACAGGGAGGTATTGTTGAAAATGTGAAAGTAGAAGGTACCTTGGGTTACACAGAGTTCAAGATCCTAAAGGGAGGAAGGAAGAATACCAGAATAAAGACACCGGACTTCAGAAAGGCAGATTTTGATAAACTCAGGGAACTCTGGCAGGCAGGATCCCCTGGGGGGCAAATCTGAGGAGAAAAGGAGTCCAGGAGAGCTAACTGTATTTTAAGAAGGATCTTTTAAAGGTGCAGGAGTAAGCTATTTTGAAGCAGTGGAAGAATAGGAAGTGCAACAGGAGACCAGACTGGCTAGACAGCAAAGTATTCAATGAGCTGAAACTCAAAAAAGGAATCCTATGAAAAGTGGAACCTTGGTCATAGTACTAGTGAAGAGTATAAGAGCACTGCATGTGTGTGCAGGGAAAAACTAGGAAGGCCATGACACAATTTGAGATGCAGCTGGCAAGGGACATGAAGGCAATAAAAAGGGATTCTAGAGTAAGTAGGGAGTCAAGAGTAAGATGAAGACTGTAGTAATAGATCCCTTACAGAATGCAGGAGGGAATCTAGGTACAGATGATACAGAGAAGGCATAAGTATTTAATGCATTTTTAACTCTAGTCTTCATAAACGGGGGCAGTCACTAGATGACAAGTGCATTTAATAGCAAAGATGGGGATGTTGACAAACAGCCTAGAGTAGTAGAACAAACTAGGGATTACTTAGAGAAACTACATGCTTTCAAGTCAGTAGGGCTAGATGGGATGCACCCTAGGGTATTGAAGGAATTGGCAGAAGGAATTTCAGAGCTATTAGCTATCCTCTTTGAGAAGTCAAGGATGTCAGGTGAAGTCTCAGATGATTCAAAAAAGGCAAATGCAGTGCCCATCTTTAAGAAAGGTGAGAAGAAGGATTTGAGGAATTAGATCAGTCAACCAGACGACGCTGATGCCTGGAAAGATCATGGAATAGGCAGGTCCTCAAGGAATCTATTGCAAAGTGCTTAGAGAACAAGATCAGCAGAGAACCTGGTTTTCTTTGTTTAAAAACTGAGAATTCTCTGATAAAAATGGCAAATTCTCTGATTAAAACCCCCGAAATCCATGTTTTTCCATGATTAAAATGAAACACCACTATATATATAGATATCAGTTGAACACAATGTTTTATTGATATAGTTACAGTTTTAAAGCAATTTGGAAGCCTATCAATGCCTCAACCATTTATAATAAAATACATTCTAAATACTGTACCTATATATTTTGGCATTTGATTTTAGTTTTTTATCACAGAAAATCAGAGCTCCCCTGCCACCTTTGCTCACCAGCACACAGGCCCAGCTGTGGCTTTGGGCCCCACTGCTTTGTGGTGCTGAGCAACTCTGATATGTTGGTGCTCAGCCCCTACTGTTGCCCCTCACTTCAAATCCACAGGCCCCCAGCCTTGCTGGTGGCCCCTTACTCCTGACCTATAGCCCACCGCCCCCTGCCGGTGCCCCTCACTCCCCACCAGCAGCCTGCCATCCGCAGTACTACTAGTGCCCCTCACTCCCGGCCTGCAGCCCCTGCCCCCTGCAACCCTGCCAGAGGGGACCCCCAGCTGCCAGGGCTATGAGACCAGGGTTACGGGACCAGGGCTAGGGCCCACAGCTCCCTGCCCCCACCCCCCAGCAGCACCCAAGCCCCAGCTGCCACCTGTGGGAGATGGCAGCTGCTGTGGCCAGAGTGGAACCATGCTTCCCACCACCGCTCCCAAGGGCCACACGGACAGAGCAGAGCCTGATGTGGGGGGGGGGGGGGGTTGGAAAGGGGGCGCCTTTTTTGTGGTTTGGGGCCCCCTT